AAAGAGTAAGACTGAAATGAGAAAGGGCATGGTAGAGGGGAGTTAAGGGGAGACCTCTGATATTACAGGAAATGGGAAGTTGCATACTTCTTGCCCTATATTATGCTTTTGCTTAAAATAAAAAAGAAGAAGAAAATGCAGATGCAGGTTTATCTGCCCTCAGCTCTCATTGAATAGCATCGTGGTCTTTGAGAGTGGACAGAGACCAACAGAACTGTAAGTTGGTCAACTGCTTAGCTACTCATGCACTGCCAGCCCATTGTGGGTGTCAAGGAAAAGGTTAAGTTAACCAGTGATTTGCTACCTCATGAGAACTTGCTAACTTGTGACTTGATAATTCAGTTGCTCAGAAGTTCTTAAGCGTGAGTTTGTTTTGATTATCTTCCACACAGGCCTCATTATTTTTACTGTGACACTGAATAACTTAACATTTGTAAAAAAAGAGCCTATACTCCTCTTCAACTTCTTTAAGTTAACTGGTCTTGATGGCTTCTTGGAGAAAAGTGATGAGTGGACATTTCTGTCCTGTTGGGCAGGATGTGGAAAGCAGATTTGTTTGGTTTGTTTTCAGTGTCTCTGCTCTCCACATTTCATTTTCTGTGATTATCCTTCTATTCATATCCCATGTGCCTGGGGGGGTTGAAAGTCTTTAGTTTACCTGTGTGTTAGGAATTGACCAGAATGTCCAGATTCTTTGTACACACATGCTCAAGGTGTGAGGGATGCTTGTGTTCACAGCTACATCGCTATGAGGGGTGGCCTTGGGGCTCAGTTTGTGCCATGTGTAATGCAGGGTTTGATCCTGAGAGACTAGTATTTAGGAGAACTGTCTCTGTGTGGTTATGTGGTTGAGGTTAACATTGTGAAAGCTTGAGCAGGAGGAGAAGTGCTGGCAGTTCTGAATAAATAAAACTTCATTCTGAAAAGTTTTTTTGCTTGTCTTTTACTTCCTGCTACATTTCCTTGGGATGAAGAGTTTGAAAAGATTGTTTTTTGTTAGAAACCACAGTACGGCTCTCGTTAGGGGGGTCTGAAACCTTTGGATGATATATACCCACTCCGAGGGTGGGATGAGGTGCTGCACATTCCTTTCAGGAAACCTTGGGCACCGTATGTATGAACATACACAAGGTCTTTGCTTGGTATATATTGAAAGTAAGCCCACCAAACTGTTCTTGAGACTGGAGAGGCATGGTTGGGATTACAAAACCACATCAAATCCCATTCTGCAGGAAACTGTGCTCTAGTTTCTTTCTTGTCATAATTCACCTGGAATATATCGTGGTTTTTAATTAGGTGACTTAACAAAGAATTCTTTCTTTGTTAATATCCAAATCTTATAATTTTCTCGAACGATACAGTGGGCTCACCACTTTTAAAGCATACTGTGGTTTCTTTGCTAGTGGAGCAGAGAAATTGCTATGAATAATTCAGCTGAACCAGAGCGGTTGCAGTGAAGGAACCCAGAGCACTCTCTGACGTGGGAGACGTGATATCGAAATTGCATTTGCTTTGTTGAAGTAAACTGGAAATCTTGCTGTTGGAGCAATTTCATATGAGTTGGAGAGTCTTCCAGGGATATCATACTCTAACAAGGTTATACTTTTTTTTTTTTTTTTGGTTTAAAACCCTGAAAAGCTTTGGAAGGAATGAAAATCAGACCCAGAGCAACAGCAGTCTGAGTGCTCACAATGCATTACAGAGTCAGGCTCTGGTTCACACTTGCATGTAATGTGTGAGAGTAATGAGCTACCGATTAGACTGGAGCAGCTAGTGCAAGAAACAATGTCTACGTGGGAATTATTTCCTCAGAGTCATCATCCAAGGAGAGAGAGATGATCTGTAGAGTGCCTACTTGAAAATGATCTAAATTAGATAATTGCTAGGCATTTGCAATTGCATCAGGTGAGTGTTTTTAGAAAGATTTAGCAAGAGAGGCACTCAATATTATGTAGGTGGGAATCTGTAAACCAGTGAGGGCTTTGAGTTAGGTTGGCAAAGACACTTTATGCCACGGAATTTGAATAACTCAAAAACAAACTAAAAAAAAAAGAGCAGTTTGTTCCTTGTTTTGTGTTCTTTGGTGGTTAGTTTTTCCAGTTTTTCCAAGAGCCCCAGAAGAGAACTGGCCATGGTGAGTGCTCCGCAGTAGCAGCCAGAAGAGGGCTGGAAATCAAAGATCTCCATGGTCTAGCAAGGAGTGTGGAGTGGAATAGTTTGAGGTTTTTATAGTTCAGAAGGGTTCTGTGTTTTGTCTCCTTGAGGATGAATGTGTCAATAGCAGCATTAGTGTCTGCTACCTTTTAAAATTTGGCAGAGTAGCTCAGTTTCACTGGTGCCAGCCCAAATCTCTTTCAGTGCCAGAGGCAGGAGTGCCAACATTTCGTTGGCACCGATTTTGTGCGTTTCTGTTCCCCTGTTAGTCACGTACAGTTGGAGTATATGAAAATGTGGTGAAAAAAGATGCAAATATATCTGTTGCTGACATTGTTTTAATATCCGTTTGTCTCCACAAAATATTGTTTTAATTTCTGTTAGTCTGATCCCAGAGGAATTATACGCACAGTGGATTGATCAGTGCAAGTTTTTGTGAATGTTTGGAAGTGGTTAGAACAGGCTTGCTGTAGCTCTGGAAAGAATGACCATGTAACATTGTGGTAATGCAGAAAGACCAGGGGAAAAAAAAAAGGAAATTATTTTTTGTTCTTACTAAAGCAACAAATACAGAGCAAATCCTTGTCATTGAAGGCTGCTCAGTTGATGTTGCTGAAATAGGTGCTTTACATGTTCTTGCATGTATGAAAATGATCAGGAACCAGAACTTTGACGTAAAAACTATTATCTGTTATCATGGATGGTATTCTAAAAACACTCCACCACAATTTGTCAATGTGAAGTAATGAGTTCAAATGAATTCCCTTTATGGCCAGCAGCCTTTCCTCCTCTCCTTCTTCCTCCTCCCCTGCACTGTTTGACTTGTATGTGATCAAATACAGTTTGGTTTGGATCAGGGCTAGAGAGGTTTTTCTGAGACAGGTGGGGTGACATTTGCTAGAGGACCCAAAGCAGAAAATTCAGATCAGAGAATGAGAAGTGAGTTGCATTTTTATCTTTATCTATAGCTCAGCATGTACGTGTACCATCACACGCACAAATTGCCAAAATCTGTATCTGGCATCTGAAATGTCTGAGCTTCTTTTATTCACTATCTAATATTTACCAAGTGACAAGTGACAACTAAAAATAAGCATTTGAATTTCAAGCTTGGGCTGTTTTGTGGTGGAACATGAGGTATCCTGGATTGCCTTGTTTGTTCTTGTTTGCTCCAGGTAGTAGTGATGGTTAAAATCCAGTTTGAAGTCTGTTTCTCATTATGTATTAAAATTCAGCTTTCATTAATATCTTCTAAAATTCCCTTAGTTTATCCATGTTGCTAATTCTAAAGAGTACTTGTGGGTTGTTCTCTGTCTTTTGAATACTTACACAAATCAGGAGGCCAATATATTTGTGTTCCCTGTTGTTCCTAGATGTTTGTGTATTGCATGTAAAAATTGAAGGAATTTTTTTTCCTTCTGGATTTTTTTTCCCTATGTAACCAATGTAATAGCTTATTTAAATTCACTGTAGTGAAAAGAAAACCAAAATTAAGCTGTGAAGTTTTGTGTTCTTTCAGTAAGGTTTCATGTGTGACCAAATGACAGCTTGGATCTTAAATGCTACATGGTCTGCTCTTAAAAAAAAAACAAATCTCTTTGCAGACTGGCAAAGCTCTGTGTTTAGTCAAAAGTTTCCCAGTTTGAATGTGATTTTTCTATATGAATTTCCATGTTCAACCCTGAAGTCAGTAAAGCTTTCAGACCTTCGAGTTTTCCTTCCTAATTCTCCCAGATCCCAGAGGGAAAAAAAGGGTCATTAAAATCAGGATTTTCTTTCTTTACTGTTTTTGGTGACCGTGTTTCCTGTTTTCCAATTGTGCCAGGTGTACTTGTGTATTTTGCCTTGTTTTTTATTTTGCTCGTCACTGCATAGCAGTGATCACAGAGTCCTGTGACCTTGAGCTCTACACAGGAACCCTGGAAGTGCCTCTGTGCTGTGGGAGCAGCAGCCAGCCAACCAGAAATGCTTCACAGAGCTGCTGTAGCTTGATGCAAAAAAAGGTCTTGGATGAACTAGGAAGCAAATGAGCCAGGCAGACTCATTTTTCCTTTCAGATTTCTAGCACCATTTTATTGCAGTTGTCCCCCTCATAGAAGATTTCAGTTTTCAGTACAGTGTTTAGTAATGGAACATGGCTCATTGAATAAAAAAAAAAAAACTCTTTGCCCTAAAAGTGCTATTATAAATATACATGTCAGAATTGAAAGCACTGCTGGAAATCTTGTAACTACAAACATATGTGTCCAAGTGATGCAGTTCAGGGTTTTTTTTCCCTTTGTCTATGGATCTTCATGAAGGGGCAGACATGGTATTGAAGACATGAGGATGTGATATTAAACTTTTAAAAAGACTACTTCTTCCCCAGCTGTAGAAGGCTTTATAAACAAGCGGCTTTCTGCAAAGTTCGGATGCAGCGACGTGCCATGACAAGCGCTGCGAGTCTCCGAGTGCTGCACGGGAACACGGACCGCTGACGTGCTGGGGCCACGGGCTGCATGTGGGACCGTTAGGGGCACGTGGGACATTGCGCTGGCCCTGGTGCAGCTGGGGAGCACCCATTATTTTATGCGCCAAACATTGCCATGACTTTAAAGGTAGCGCTGAACTGTGAATGTACGAAGTGCGGGCACAGAAGTGAAGGAAGGGGGAGAGGAGTGTGATATTTGACAGGTCCAAATTAAGCAGGGCAACAACTCCCTGGCTGCAGTTTATGTCTGCTTCACACCAAATAATCTGTGCCGGCATAACAAGCTGTTTGACTTTTCAGACACTCAGGTTTTTGAATATTTTCTCCTCCTGTCTTTGCATAAAGGAACAACTATGAAGAATCAGAGCTGTCCTTCCACAAGAAAAGAGTCAGAAGTTATTTCTGTGTGTTAGTCATTTAAACAAGCTTGCATGATGTTGTTTTGCACCTTTTGCGAAAGTTAAATTAAAAAGGGATGTTGACTCCTCCATTAAAAAGCTGCTTTCAGATTTTTATTTGTAATCCATTGGCATTTTCTAGATTCAAACTTCAATATCATTCAGCCACGGAAAGAGGATATAAAACATTAATTACAGGTTTTGAAAGCCTGGGGTGTTCTGAGTATTCCTTTAACAAAGCTACTACTGAGCGCTTCTGGAAATCTGGCTGCTTCATGTAGGGACTTAGCTAGTATTCAATTTCGAATGATAATTTCAGCTTAACTTGAGGTGTTTTTTTGGAAGTCTTTGCCATAAATCTCATGGATCTCATGGATCCCCTTACCAGAAATGTCCCTCTGTGTCCTGAGAAAGACTGCAAAGAGACAAGAGCTGCTGGAGAGCATGAGGCAGGAGAAGGAGAGGGAAGCAGCGGATGATGGGGTGGGATGGCGGGGTGACTGAAGCGCTGCACAGCGCATCCTCAGCTTTCTAGCTCTGCTTTCAAACATCATCTCTACTTGCCCTTGCCTTCCTCCAGAGAAGACCTCTGCTGATGTTCTGCTGAATTTGCCTCGTAGATAGCTTGTTCAAAAGGTTTTGTGCTGAAAGGAAGCTCTTCAAAGGACTCTCTTTTTCATTACCGAGATTTTTTTCTTCCCTCCAGGCAATTCAGAAGGAAAGAAGGATTTGCATATGTGTGCCTTGGATCTCATCTTTCTTCTCTCCAAATTGACTGGTTGCCATTATCTCCCAGCTAAAATTTGCCGCTTGTATGCTATTTTTAGAGCTGAGTTTTAGCCCTGTTCATTTTCAGAGTGCTTTGGAGGTGCTGGTGATGCAGATTAAAGGTACATGAAGCGGGAACGCTCTGGTTTTGAAGCATAAACTTAATTGGGGACATTAAGTCTAGCAAAACTTTCTGGAGGTTGGTAGATTCGATGAAACTGGGTAGCTAGACAGAATTACTTAAACATCCTTGTGAACAGCGTATTCAGGTGTTCATGTTTCCTACAATCACCAAAGCCTGTGTTTTCTGGTGGAAGGCTGTCTATATTTTGTTCTTGTTTCATAATTTCTTCAATACTATGATTACTACACACACACACACAAAAAGAATTCTTAGCCATTGTGACTGCCAAGTAGAGGCAGAAATACGGCATTTAAGCAGGAAGTGAATCTAAAGAATGCACAATTTCATGTGAAGTAAATTAAAAACCTTGCAGTTTTAATTGGGGCTTCTGATGACCTTAGCTAATGGATTTAGCATGTCACTGACTTGGCAATTTTATGTTTCCTTTTTGTAATCTGGGATTTCTAGCAGGAAAACATTAAATCTCTTCCTTCACAACTATATTATTTTTGCAAAAGTCCTTTAATTTTCCAGATACTAAATTGGGGGGAATTGGTACTGCCAAACCAAATCAGGGGGAAATGCTACTGCCAACTTCAAAGAGTCAACACTATTTTTCCTCTGGTGGTTTGGAAATTATTATCTTTAGCACCTGGAAAACAGCAGTTCATTTTCTTTTTAAAGGTTCTTCATGCTCACTCCTGTTTTGCAGGCAACTGGATGACTTCTACAGTTGTGTTTGTTAGCCAACATATGGAGACTCTCATATGTGTTGCAGAATGACTGTTAGGCCCAGGGGACCAAAACTTTAATTCCAAACTCCTCTGTTCATAGTCGCTCTAAGACAAAATACCTTGTCTTATAAAGAGATCCACCAAGGATCTGTTTAGCTCATGACAGAGGTGCTTTCCCTCCTGAGATGCTTCTTTCCGGTCCATCATTCAGTGTCTGTGCAGGATAGGGATTCATGGAGGTGGTGTTGGGAGTCTCCATGGTTGACTCCATGTCAGCTAAGGTGCATGGGACACTGTTGTTGTCTACTCGTAGGTCTGCTGCCCACATAAAGCAGGTAAGACAGGATATTTGGGACTAGGAGTAAATAGATACCAGCAGGGAAAGCTTCTGCAGAGTTACTAGTTGCTACTTGCTTTAGAATTGGTGCATTTTAATGAGGATAAATAAGCTCTAAACTTTATCTCTTCCACGACCTGAATTAAAAGCAACAAAATCAGAAGCATCTTTTCACCATTATTGCTCCGTGATCTGGCAAGACATGAATGTGGTAAACCTTGCTCTGTTTTCTGTTCCTGACTGTTGCCTGGCAAAGAAGGAACGCACCTTGCTGTTTTTTAGACACTTATCTCCCATTTCTGTACTTCCAGGTTCTAATTGATTGGATAAACGATGTGCTGGTGGAGGAGAGAATCATTGTTAAACAGCTTGAAGAAGACCTTTATGATGGGCAAGTGCTGCAGAAGCTGCTTGGTGAGTTCATGTGAGAGGAGGGGGCCCCAAACACTGGAAGGGGCCACAAATGAATCCTCCCTGAAGCTTCCTATGGCAGCAGGTCTGTGCAGTAACTTACCAGCTCACCAGAGGTGCATGTTGTTTTGATGGTAGATACAGTGTCAGCCCTTCCATCTGTTCTCAGGCAGTATTTTGAAAGGGGAGGAAACAAAGATGATGTTTAGGTATCTGATTCATGGACTAAGAAGAGCTGGACAACTGTTACATGTGGCAGAGAAGAGGTGAAGAGATGGAAGTTTATGTTGGAGGGGGCAGATGAAGCAGAAGTTTTGTAGTCCAAAATTTTGACTGTGTTCTGAGTTCGCTCTTGAAAGCTTTTTGGGATGTAAACTTTTTTGAAATCAGCACAGAATTATTTTTAGAAGCATTCTTGATAAACAGAGAGTGCATGACAGCAGGCACATACTCCTAATGTGCTGTTAGGTAGGTAGGGAGGAATGAGGCACGAAGAGTTATGCTCAGTTAAGCAGTTGTGATTTGGCAGCCTCCTTGCCTCTTTGCAATCCAGTGTTCATTCTAGCTGGAAAAAGCCTGTAATGATGATGCAGTGTTTCATGGGGCGTTTTTAGCACACAGAGAGCCTTTAAGCTCCAAGTGCCTTGGTAAATACTCTCCAGTTGTCACTTGGGAGACAGATAAGTAAAATAAAAGCAATCTCTCTATGATAAGTTTTCAAGAGCGGGCTGGGATATGGGCTCTATATGTGAGAGTGGGGCAAGAGGGTTTAATGGTGATAATTTCATTGGCTTTCATGGCTGCTACGTACTGAATTTTCTGTGTGTGCTACTTAAATAACAGGTCCGCGGTGTTTCGGTGAACATTCACAGGCTTCTAAACACTGGTTACCAACAACAGGCTTTGTGGTGGCAGAGGTAGAGAAAATCAGTAGCTACTTGGTGACTGGCAGTTCCCCAGCACTGAGAACAGATAGGAATCATAACAAATAACCAAAATATGGACATTTTAGGATAGATAGGATAGATTTTTTTTAAGGATAAGGTCTTTTAAAATCGTATTTAAATGCCTTGGCAGTCAGTTAAAAAAAGACTCGTGGAGATCGTGGCTAAAGAAATTTTTTCCCATTAATACTTCTCAGATACTGATTTAAAAATGATTAAAAAAACCTTCACATGTTTAAAACATTCATTGCTTTTGGTAACATACAAGTCCTTTCTGTTTGGTTTACTGAAGCACTTTGTGTTTCTGTCACTGTCTTTTTGTTTGCTGGATTTTATATATACAGCCAGGTAAAATGTCCAAAAGCAAAGTGCTCTCGAATTTGAGAGCAGAAATGTTTTCATTATTTGAATAACATGTTCTGACAACTGTGAAAAGTTCCCAAAAGAAAACTGAAGCCTGTCCTGTCTTGGGAAAATGGTTTCAGTGAAGTATGTTTTCTTTTGTTCGTTTTAAAAACAGCAGTAATGATATATAATTGGAATATGCTCAACCAGTCCTACCTTCCTAGTCCCAACAGCACAGTGAGTTTGACCAATTTTCTCCCCAGGCTAGAGGCAGAAATGAGATCAGCTGGACAGCTCTTTGCCCTACCCTTCCCCAGCTCTCTCTCTGAGAGGGAAATTCAGCTCCGGGGGCTTGGGTGAGGATCTCAGTGCAGAGGAAGAAAAGAATGACTAGGGTATGATTTTGGCGACAAATAACCGTATTACAGAAGCAGAGTTCGGCTTTTTGTAATGGCATTTAACAAACCTTCCAACATTAATTCATTTTTATAAATAATCAACCATCTTGACAACATATCAATATTCTACTAATTTACTTATTCTTTTAAATTGGTTTCATTAAACCAGTATGAATCTATGGGTAGATATTCCTTTGAGGCTTTCAGAAGACACACTTTTGCTTTACTCTAAATTTAGACCTTCAGCTAAGCTGAAATAGAGCTTGTTAGACTAAAGTAAATGTTCATAAAAGTATTCTTTTTTCTTTTTTTTTCTGTTTTTTTTCCTTTTTTTTTTATGTCCCAGGTTAACCTCCATTTTTAGAAAAGGCCATTAAGCTGGAGCAAATTCCTTGTGGAGAGAAAGGTGTATTGTACTGAATGTTTTTCAGCAGTGAAGGAAAACAGGAGGCACCACAATTATTGCTAACTTGGTGCCTATCAGCAAATTACATATTTTGAAACCTGATTAGGAGCATGTTCTGCCAGACCTTATCTATTCTCCGCTGCAGGGTTTATTGGAGTTGACACGCTGAAAAGTTTGTTTTCAACCATTTGTTTTCTGAGGGCAATCACTCTATTGTAAAATTTGTAGCTGTGGCCAGTCCTGCTGGCTGGTTCTCTGTGCTCTGTATACCCACCCAGGCCATGGTTCCGTCTGATTTTCCCTGTTCTTTTTGTTGCTGCTTTCTCTACATGCAGAAAAATTGGCTGACCGTAAGCTGAACGTGGCAGAAGTGACGCAGTCTGAGATTGGGCAGAAGCAAAAGCTGCAGACGGTGCTGGAAGCTGTTCATGACTTGCTGCGGCCCCACGGCTGGACAATCAAGTGGAACGTTGACTGTAAGGATGCTTTGAAATAGCCACGGATAGGACAAGAGGAAATGGCCTCCATTTGCACTAGGGAGGTTCCGGTTAGACATTAGGAAAAAAAGAGTGGTCAAGTGTTGGAACAGGCGGCCCAGGGAAGTGGTGGAGTCACCGTCTCTGCAGTGTTTAAGAAACGTCTAGATGAGGCACTTAGGGACATGGTTTAGCAGGCAGGGCGATGATGGGTTTACGGTTGGACTCAATGATCTTGAAGGTCTTTCCCAACCATAATGACTTCATGATTCTACGATGCCTCCTCTTGGCTTCCCCAACCAGGAGGATATACTAATCAATATGTTGATCAGTTTCTCTCTGCTCCACTGGTGTTTTTTAATTTATTTGTGTAGAGATTGTTATCAAACCCATGTATGGGTTGTAACTGATATGTTCTCATGCCATCCTTGTTTAAGCTTCCACAGATGTGTGGGCTATTGGATAACTGAATGATGTTTTCTGTTAAGCATATGCTTTAATTAAAATGATTTCTGTTTCATTCCCGAAGTCGAATCCCTATAGTTATGAGAAATTTGTTAGTCATTTGATTGCTAGAGGATGGTCTAAGCCTTCAGGCCACCACAGTGAGAGGCAAGGGCCTGCTTAGAGCTGCAGCTTTTGACAGGTCAAACCAAAAGGGCACTCAGATCCAGAGTGACCCCTTAGGTGCCAAAAGTGAGAAGGGAGTTTGAGAGGTCCCTTCATCCAGGTTGTGCATCTCTCACAAACAGCTGAGCTTGTGCTACCACTTCCTAAATCTGCTAAAACCAGGATTTTTCAGTATCCTCCAGCAGAAGGAGAGTTGAAGACCAGCTCTTCTTCTTCATTGTCTAGAGAGGGAGATGAAATTTTTTCCTAAGTTAGGTAGGTAATATGAAGACAGGGCTAAGTCTAGAAACTGCTACCCGTAAAATTATTTTGTAGGCTTTATTAATTCAGGAAAAGGAGGAAAGAAGGAAAAAGAAAGATAGAAGACCATGCTTGCTATAGACTTTTCTCCGTTCAATAACTTTCTTTTTTCAGAGTAGTTTGTTTAAAATCAGGCTTCAATATATTTCCATTTGCTTCTTTTTTCTTGTTCCCTGCAGCAATCCATGGCAAGAATCTCATTTCCATTCTTCACCTTCTGGTGGCTTTGGCAATGCATTTCCGCGCTCCCATTCGGCTGCCTGAACACGTGTCTGTACAAGTGGTGGTTGTGCGGGTGAGTACGAGCGGGTACGAGAGCGTGACCAGAGCACTCGCTGGTTGCTGTGCTGATTTTGCACTGCAGCCTGCTGCTGTCCACTGTCCCTCTGCACTTCTTCAGTTAGAAAATTCTTGTCCTGGTTGTTTAGGGAATGCTGGTCCTGGGAGACCAGCTTCTTTCATGGCCCTGAGAATATCATATACGGAGTATGGTTGGGATCGCTGATTGCTAAAGCAGTATCAAGCTAACAGTGTGTGTAAAAGAGAGTGATGTCTCTAGCTTGGCAATCCAGTAAAAGATTTATGCCTTTTTTGTGTTTTTTTTTTCTTTTTTTGTAAAGAAGACATTCAAGCACAAGTAGTATAGGGAGGAGTTTCAGCCTTTCTCACTTGGCAATCCTGTTACTTACGTTGTTTTCCCTTAAAGAGGTATTATTTAGACTTTGACATGTTCTTTTCCTTGGTATACTTGGCGACCTTAATCATTTCTTTCAAAGCCTCAAGATTTTCTTAGCTTTCATTACTTACAGAGAAGAGATCTGACCTGAGAAACCCTGACCTCTTGTCTCCTGCCCTAGGTATTACTGTATAAATTCCTTGCTCTGCTTGGTGTTGACCATTTCCTTTCAGTCTACAGATACTATTTTCAGAGCCTACGAACCCCAACTTTTTATCTTGCCTTTTCTCCCAGCAGGGACTTCCTTTTCTGAAATTTTGCCCTTTCTTAAGAATCTTGATTGGTTCTTGAGTGCTAGACTAAGATTTTCCTATGTTGCTAGATTCCGTTTTTTGGTTAGAATACAATGCTTTAAGCATGGCAGTATGCATCCAACTTATACATGAAGTATCCTAGTAGAGCAGGGGTTTAGGTGAGTCTTTTATTTAAGATCTTATGGATAGCCACAATGCCGAGTTAAGAGGATAAGACTGTACTTGTTTTAATACGTGTGTCATTCAGCACTTCCAGCCTTCCACAATTAGGGCAGAGAAGGATAAACTTTGGGGTCTCAGTGCCTATTTCCAGTGATAACTGAATATCCTGAGATTTTTCTCCTACCTGATTCTACCTCCTGATACTTGAAACATGAATTCACATCATGTAAATGCTCAACAGTGATTCAGGAGAGCAAAAGCATTATTGGAAATCAGTGGAAAAATTGTTAAGGCATGCTGTATGTTTGTTATTTTTACAGGGCTCAGCAACTGTTGTCTTCTGCATTTACCTTTATTTACTAATTTTTAAAATTGCAACATATGTCTCCTTGATGCTTCTGGCAGATCAGAGGTATTTTTGCAGTAATTCTCTTGAAGTCCAAATTGCGGATCAATAGGTCAAAGGCAAAGCAGGGTGCACAATAAATGCCTCTTGTGATGATGATGATACAAAAAATCAGAGTTTTATTAAAGATTGGGTTTTGTTTGGGGATCTCAAGGCTGAGGGACCTGGGCTCGTTGTAAGAGCAGCAGATGCAGCTGCCTCTTAGGAGGCTACAGAGAAAACAGCTGCCATTTCTGCCCGTTGGGGATGCAGTGCTGGCATCTGTTCTTCTTAGCCACTATTTGGAGGCCTTTTTCACAAGCAGGTTTTTTGCTCATGGTTTTTAGCCACTTCCCGTTGAAGGACATGGTGCCTGGGAGGTGCAGAAACCCCTGCTGGAAGAGCCAAAGCTGGGTGGGATGAGATAAAGGCCACACTAGTCTGTATTGAAGAAAACACTGCCCTGCGAGATGCTTCCATATTTTTCCAAGCACACTGTCATCCTAGCTTGTTTTACCCAACCTACTGGCACGGATCCTACGACGCCTGCAGGGGAGCAGAGCTAGATGTGTTTGTGATAGGGAACGGAGGCGTCTGCAGACGTGGCCAGCAGGCTGGGCCTTGTGCGGGGCCAGGCGCCGGCACGAGCTGTGGCCACAGAAGGGTGGGTGACAACTGCTCCCACTGTGCTTTGGGCCAAATAAAGCTAGGCTGCCCTGAATGTTGGAACGAGGAGTTGGAAGGGATTCTTGCTACCTCGTTTTTAGGTTTAAGTCTCTATTTCTTCCATTGCTTCTGGGGAAGAATGTGTTTCTCTTCAAAGCTCTTCTGCCTGATAAGTTTGCGCTTGGGATTGAGCTGGTGAAGATTATTTAGATGGCATTCTTATGAAGAGCTTGTGCCTGGGGGGATGGTTTTGCTGTTCACCAGAGCTGACAGCATTCCTTGTTAACTCTGCTCTAGGTCGTGTTGACAGCCCCTTGCTTCTGGATGGCTGCTGAGCTGTGCGCTCTTGGTGACAGCACTTTCATTTTGGAAAAGAAAGGAGGGAAAATCCCCCTTTTCAGGCAGCAGGGACCCATACACTCAGTGAAAGGACATGTTAAGAAAGTTTTGGAATCAAATAAATGTACTTTCCTGCCCCAGAGAGAGGCACAAACCGTATCTCGAAAACTCTGGAAATGCTCAAAAACATTCGGTCCCACCTCTGTTACAGGGCTGTGTCTTAATAGAGCCTGGAGAAAACTGTTTTGAAATTGAGCCTCATCAGATGCTATCTCTCTGTTGGGTAGAAGAGTTTATGGAGAAAATCACCCGAGGAAAGAAAAAACAATAAAAGGGAGGTAATTTCCACTGTGAAATCACTAGTCAGGCTTTTGCACTCCCCAGGTTTTCTTGGCTGATGCGCTCCCGACAAGAGCGTGACCGATGGCCTCAGCGAGGCGCTTGCTCTAGCAGAGCCTCCTACCCATACGGAGCTCCTCACCAGCGCACCTAGGCCCTGGCCTGGGGGCTGTGGTCCTTGTTATTGCAGCCCAGGCCCCTCCAAGAGCCAGCCTGCCGATTCTGTCTGAGTGTTGGTTGATAACCACAATATGAACAAACATCCCTGGGGAACTTAAACCAGGGGTGGCAAACTCTAATTTGATCTTAGCCAGAACATTTTATGCTACATCTCCCCTGGCTTTCTGCAACACGATGAGTGCTGCAGAAACCCTAACAAGCCTGTCCTTTAATGCAAATTTCGCTTTTGGTTTCCAGAAACGTGAAGGTCTTCTTCAGACTACCCATGTTACAGAGGAGCTCACCACGACGACGGAGTAAGTGCTAAATGCCTCCTATTTAGTGTTAGTGTGTCTGTGGGTGCATGAGGTGAAATCATCTGCAGAGACAAAGCAGAGAAGTGATCCTTCCTGCTACTGCTGCTAAATAAGCAAAATCCCATGTGTTGCTTTTATAATGATGCAGAAACAACTTTGTTTCTGGAAACGCTTTGCAAAGCAGAAATGAGTTGGCTTGGCAGTCCTGTGTTACAAAAGCTTTTCACTGGGTATTTCACTGAGAGTGACTTTTTTTTTTTTTCTTTTTTTTTTTTTTCTTTCTGCACATAGCCAAATATAACCAATTTCTGCCTGGTGCTGTAGCCTCTCTCAAATAAAGGACTAGTGTAGATATTTGGGGGAATAATCAAACGATTTCTTGAAATTCCTCTCAAAACTGGCATGATACCGCATAAAAGCTGAGAGATGTTCCCTATTTCATATAGCACCTCAAGAAAAGAACTCAGCAAAACTAAATTAACTAAACAAACCTCTCCACAGTTTTTGTAATGGCTTTACTTGCCTTTATATTCTTTTTTTTTCTTTTTTTTTAAACAAGGAAAAGGCTAGATGTGCACTTTGGCTGCAAATAAAAGCTGAGAGTCTCCTTTATGTGGCCTGAAGGCAGCTCTTCTAAAGGGGCTTACATGAGCCCTCCTTCAGTTTATCAGAGTATTGGCTTCCTGCAGAGTTGGCTCAGCTTTCCGTGACTTTGAAGATAAATGAAATACCATGTGGCTTGCTCAGTGGGGAAGATCTTTCATATGGAAACATTCAGCAATGAGATCATAATATCTCTGTGTGGACATTAAAGATCTCATAGTGTTTTCTGTAGGATCAGAGCTTTGCCTCAGTATTTTGGGCTAAAATTCCTCCCTTCACTTCTGTGCTCTTGAACGGTGTATTTAGGTTATCCTCTCCTTCAGATGTGGTTTCTTAGACACAATCTATGCAATGGGGTTTGGACATCTTTAGCAAGAAAGATGCTTACAGATAGGCATGTAGGTTTATACATGTGTTTTATTGTTTAATATTATACAATACTAAGAGGCTAATGTGTTGCATACACAAATGTAAGCAGAGGTACAACAAACTGCAGAACTTTAATTAAATACTTCCAAATTTCCCTGTGCAGATCAGGGGCTAATAATCATCTGCATATGTCTGGTGATGTCACTGGCTGGGGATATGATTCATATGTGGCTATATTAATTGCATAACATCCAGAGATGATGTATGTTTTCTTTCTTCAGAGAAAACAGATTTAAGTGGGCTAGATAATACCCGGCCTTATTCATTCTGAACTGCGTGACACAGTCTCTGCTGACTCTACTTGTGGAAACTACACACAGAAAGAGATTGGTTCACTCACTCTTGAGCATAAAATGATTGTGCATAAGAAATAAAACCATATAAAAAACAATTACATATAAGTTATGCATTTTCATTAATTTCAAGTGCATCTTCCTGACATCACTGGTGATCTGCTGGGGACATTCCTGCAGCACGTTGGGTCTGGTCTCCAACACGCTCAGTCTCCTAGTTGGGTAGGAGTGGATAGCCCTCGGCATCTTGCAGGAAAAGGCCCGTTAAGCCCATGGTCTTGTCTTTTCAAAGTGATTATTCATGAACTAATCTAGTATTCTTGAATGCTCTGACTTGCAGGATGATGATGGGAAGATTTGGTAAGTAACAAAGTTGACTCTGAAATTTTTTAATTTATGCCAGGCACAGAAATTATGTCTGTTTTCCTTGGACAGATTAAGACAGTGGATTGAGCAATTACACAGAGGTGGAATGTGTTGCGGGGGCAGGTGTTTTACTGCACTCAGATGTGGAGCACGAGAAGTTTGAACCAGATTGTTCTATCCTTTGATCTTTGGACTGGTCTCTATTGATTTGTTTTCACTCATATGTAATGAATGTGGATGCTGCCACAAAGTGCAGTATTTCGTAGTACTGTTGTTAGTATATTTCAAGCAAAAATTTTTGCAACATAATCATAAGAGTTGCACTCTCTTCAGAGTGTGACTATTTAGTTAGTATATAAATGAAAATTATTGAAGCACAGGTATATGGTAAAACATCCAAGAAAACTCTATTTGCTTGTCCCCTTTCAGCCATCAATCATTCTTTCTCCTAGTTCCTTTCCATGAAGTATCTTATCCCCGCCTGGCTCACTGGGGACTTTATTAAGCAGAGAAATGGTCTTTTAAATGCACAGCAAGAGTTTTCTTATTATTTCCAAAGGCCTTCTCTATCTTTTTGCATAGCCTGGCCCTCACTGTACTGGTTATTAAATCACTTCCACTCATTTGAGAGATGTGAGATCCTCTAAAGGTCTCCATGAGACTATGAACAGGTTATTTAGTTCTTTTTTTCTCAGCTCTAATATGTGAAAGCTGTGAAATATGTGCATTAATGACTAAAAAGGCATTTGAAATATAAATAATGAAATATTTGAAAAATAAATAACGGGGAGATATATAACATATCCTTAGACTACAAAGGTGTCTATTGTTTTACCTTAGCAAATACTGAAATATGTTCTGTAAAGGAAAAGGAATATGAACATGGAAAAACAGTTAAAACTGTAATGAAGCATTTTAACAACTTATAACCCTCTCCCCCAGTCTTCTAGCAATGCGTTTTGATAGTTGTCTTTTGCATGATTGCAATTGGTTCAGGGTTTTTGTGTGTATGCTGTTACCTGATGAAGACAATCCAATTTCTAATATCATCCAAAAAAACTTAGTATTTGGAAAATTCAGTCAGTTCTAAGCTGCCACAATGTGAAATACTGCACTCCTGTATTAAATTTATTAGATCTTAGATTGGATTAAGTATTTTTACAAAGTGCTTTGGAGGTGTAACACTTCTGCAGTAATTTAAAAGTTCATACTGTATATTGGGTTAGAAAATACAGGCTTTGCTCCTAGCATGTCGACAAATCAGGTCTTCTTCATGTGTTGAATTTTAAGCTTGTTAAGGATACTACCAGTAAGTTTAAAATTGGCCAGATGAAAATCTGATTTTGATGCTGAGCACTTGTCATGAACATAGCTATAATTATTGCTCTATTGCTGAGCATCAAAAGGTGACATTTCAGTAGCCCACTATTTAAGCTAAAATTGGAGCATGGTGAAAATTTGTTTCATTTTAACTTTTCCCTCATCTGCACATCTTATGTACAAATTATAAATGGCAAAAAAAGGAAAAATGGTGTGAAATGCTTATCTTAAGTTACCCCTAAAACTCCCAGTGTGATTCCCAAAATAGGGGAACAGTTTTATCTTGAGTCTCTGTTACATGGTTTTCTAAGACAGACCCTCAAGCATGTGACACACAACTTGCTACCCATATTTGGTTGTTACTGGTGTATTGGTTTTTCTTTTTATTTATTTTTAACATTGTTTTTATTTTTTATAAAACCAGAGAGAGATGCCTTCGACACACTCTTTGATCATGCACCAGATAAACTCAGCGTGGTCAAGAAGGTAAAAAAAAAAATCACATTTTGTTTTTTTTTGTTTGTTTGTTTGTTTGTTATACTTTCAAAAGGCATACAGAAAGATCTGTCCAATAGCAGAGATAATTCTGAAATAATAAAATAGGGAATGTGTCCTCAGAAGATCACTATTTCAGAGCCAGTGAGGCCACATTGTTCCACATTATTCCTGTGTGTAGTTTGGTCATTTGTACACATGATCACACTTGGGACAGAGGAAAGTGTGAAACTGTGCACTGCTGGCATCTTCCCTGGGGAGTCTTAGCTCCAGGCTGGTCATGCCCTGCTCCCAGTCCTCTTCTCCAAGAGCCCAAATTGATTCACACAGGCACTAAACCCAACTAGCATTTGCTTCATCTTTGCAAAGAACTTTCAAAAGAACCAATGTCATCACAGAGTTTTCGCACAGCTCTGTAATAGGGTTAATGTGCCTGGAGAGATAACTAGAAAAAAATATGTAATAGCACCATCTGGTGACTTCTGCCATGTGTTGCAGCAAAAATGAGCGTACTGCAGAGTTGTTCTCAATGTTGTATACTTATTTATGCAAAAGCAAATAGCTCATGGTAGTATTTACTAGGCTTAAAAATATCTTAAGAGAATATGTTAACCCTTTCACGTAGATACTGACTGTAGTTTCTCACATCATTGATTCTGGTATTTTCTTTTGTAGTCTCTGATCACTTTTGTGAACAAACACTTGAACAAACTGAATTTGGAAGTAACCGAGTTAGAAACCCAGGTAGGAGGCATGATTTGTTTGTGTGTAATTGCAATTGTAAATTACAAATATAAGCCCTTGTTCCATAAAACCTTGTTATGGAGCTGCTTATATTTGGGTATATGAATTTAGGAGATCAGAGGCTTTATCTTTTAAATAGCAATTCATGCATTCATCTTGGCTTCCCTTACTCATGCTTACATGTATTGTATAATGCTGATAATTTACATTCCATTCTGTAAGGTGAAACTGTGGAATAACTAATATATTCATGTTAATGACTTTAGAGCAGGGCCGGGTTCTGGGGCAGTCTGTCTCCTGGATCAAAGTGGAGTGCTGCAAAGCAGGGGCTGCAGTTCTGGGTGGTTGACAGGTCGTGTCTTTTCTTGCTGTGGGGATTCACAACGAGCTGGTGTTAGTTGCTCACAACTGGCTGCCTGGTGCACTCTGAAGGTATGTGGACTGCAGCGTGCAGCTCATCGTGGAGATCTCATTGCTAGCTTTGATCACATCAAAGCGGGAGCAGGGAACAATTTGGAGGTTGCAGCACAGCCTTCATGTGCTCTGCTGTCCCTGCTGGGGAGCATCTACACCACGCTTGCTTCCCACAGTGTGGCTTAGCGAGGCTGAGCACTCCTGCTGCAGTGGCTCGAGTGGCCTCGGTACCCCAGGTAGCTTCTTTAAAGCTCGCTCAGGTAGCCACTGGCCACCACAGCCACAGGAGTCCCCTGTCTTTCGCTCAGGAGAACAGTAGTGTAGGAGAGGGTAGTAGTAGAATAGGGTAGTGAATATGCTTGGAAATCTCAAGTGTGAATTTTGGTGGTAGTAGGGCAGTTCTCACCCTGTGAGGGTAAAATCTGCAGATTTCACATGTGGTTTTGAGTATGTTTTAATAATGGAAACAAATACTCTTTCCAGAGTTTGCTGAATCTTGGACACGGGGCAGTTCTCACCCTGTGGGTGCAAAATCTGCAAATCACGTAGATTTCACATGTGGTTTTGACTATGTTTTAATAATGGAAACAAATACTTTTTCCAGAGTTTGCTGAATCTTGGACACATGGTTATCCTAGTGTCTGGGCAGAGAGGGGAGCATGGCATGTAGAGAATTAGTCCTAGACTATGAGCAATTGGCTTAACTCTGGCTTAGTCTAGCACCAATCATTCACTGCTGTTTTGTAGCTTTGCTGAAGCAAATAGGCAACTTCTCTCTGGATACATCCTGCCATAAGAAGCTGTTGCACGCTTCCATGAAAGTATCCAGCAATTTATTTTTGAAAAGCACAGAAAGGGCAGTGAATGTCAAATGCACCATGAGAGAATCACAAGTGAGATTTCGGTTTGAAATATATAGCATCACCCACAGCTAGCCAGGAAAGTCGTCTCTGCCTGGTAGGAACACTGAACAGTATTACAGAAAGTGTTTAGTATAGAATTTAGTTTTTACTGAACCTGTGAACGGTCTGTTTTGGCTTTGAACGAACTTTTTTTTTTGTGAAGTAAGAATTTCCTGTGACAGTTAAGACTACATGTGACATGGTAGAATTAATTTCAAGCTCTCATTAAGGTGAGAGATTTGTGCGTCCAACTTGCACGACCTAAAAGAGCAATTGTATTTGACCACGTACTACTGTAGAAGAATTGGAAATATATTATATGGCAAATTTCCTAGGAAGTCTCTTTTTTTCTCTAATTCAGAAAAATGGCAGTGAAGTTGGCAATATTTCTGAAAAAAGAATGTGAGCAAATGCAAGAACACACATACATACTTTTACCTCTCCCTGAAGTATTCAGTAGCCTTGTAAACAGGGTAAAGCTGGCTGGAGATTCAGTGGATCTTGTTTTCAGTTACTGCCGCATTCAACCCAAATGCTCTGCACCCCTAAGGAGTGCAAATTATAGACAACTTCCAGAGAATTACTTCTAATTTCTTCTGCTTAAAGCTCTCTGCTGTATGTAAATAATTTAATAGTCATTGGCACACGATCTTGAATGGGTTAATGTTACAGCTGTTGGGCTTCCTTGTTTTACTCAGGTAATAATCCCACCAGAAGTAGAGAGAAAGCTTGGTATCCTTTTTACTTTTTTTAATCAGAGAAGGCAGCAGCTATATCAACATAGGACAGGTTGATTCAGCCTGCTCGGCTGAACTGGTGATTGCACAGGTTATAGGTGGATTTGGGGAATAGATGAAACCCTGAATGTTTCTGCTGCACTTGCTGTCAATTCCTTGTTAAACCTCAGCAGAGCTGCCTGTGCCTGCTGATCTGGCTTATATCTCCGCACTAACAAACAAAAGTGGTAGAAATCAAGGTAGCTAGTTCGGGGCGCGCATTTTCTTCTGCTTGCTAATGAATACTTACTGGAAAACAGATGCTTCCACCTAGGAATGTCATCAGCATTTCTGTTTAGTTTGCAGATGGTGTTTACTTGGTATTGCTCATGGGTCTCCTTGAAGACTACTTCGTTCCACTTCACAACTTCTACTTAACACCTGAAAGTTTTGATCAGAAGGTGGGTACAAATTCCAGGTCATATTCATTTGGCTCCAGTACCACACATGGTGTTTTCCATTCACTGGATCCTTTCTCTTTGTGCACAGTAAGTCAGAGCCTGTCATATCTATCTCTTCAGGAGCTGTAACAAAGGTGCGCTTCCTGGCATGGTCAGTTGTTAGTACAATTTGTACTCCCAAAAGATATTTGTGAAATCAGGGGTAAATCCCAGTTAGTTAAGCAAGAAAGGTATTCTCTTTTTCCATCAGGTGGCACATAATGGAAGGAATAAATCAGTAAGTGCTTTGTACTATCTAGAGTTTTGCACAAAGTGATTTACTTCAGCATCTTCTTAAATTGCAGTGCTGCTTGAAATCCTCTGGGTGCCTTACTATGCTAGATGTGAGAGCTGAAGCCTGATCTCACCCAGTAAATAGGCAAAAGGCAAGGAATGGGAAACTGTGCTTAATCCCCATTCCTTACACTGGGATTGACATGGGGAGGGGGTAGGTGTCACAGAATATGTCAGTCCTCAAAAGTAGCCTCTGATCTCAAGAGTATCTGTTGCCTAACAGTCATCTGATCTTTTTTTCTGTAGTTTCCTTAATGTAATTACAAACTAAGTGAATAAATAGCTTTACTTGATATGTAAATGAGGTGCTGGAGTAGTAGATGCTGGAGGTACCTAGGCCATGGTCTTTGGCTGCAGTGGGGTTAGAGCCTGTAGAGTCAGTTAGTGCAGACAGGTAACCTGCCTTGTAACTGACCAGAGCCAGGAGGGAGACCTGATCCTGCCAGGGAAGGAGCGTGCAGCCCATTGCCTCTCTAAAGTCAGCTTGTGAGCACAGAGATCTGGCTTTGTGGCAGCAGCATTGCCAGAGTTGCTGATTTGAGACAAAGTTCTTGCTTCCCATTTTAAGTTAGTTCTTTGTGTTTGGTGAGGGGTGAACTGCTTGCTTTCTTAACTATGCTTCAGATGAAACCAGCTTTGAGGAAAAGGAGAGCATTCTTTGCAGTCTTAGGGTCAGGGCATTAAGGATGGAAGGAGAGAAAATAAGCATCTTGCTCTTAGCCCCACACTTGTTCCACTCCCCTGTATCATTTCCTAGTGTTGATGATAAGAAGGGTGTTTAACAGAGCAAGCATACCTTCTTATCATGACCAAATCTCACATGGGTTATATAGGGTTAGTCGACTTCCTCAGTTAATTGCTAGTTGTCATTTAGGAGCTCCCTGAATGCAAGAGGTCAGGCTATGATGTGAGGCCTCTCTCTGTGTGTGCATAGTGTGGGGACTAGATGAGGGAGAGCAGTGGATGTCAGCTATCTCAACTTCACCAAGGCTTTTTGACACCGTCCCTCACAGCATCCTCTGGGCAAGCTCTGGAAGTGTGGGATAGATGAGTGCACAGTGAGGTGGATTAGGAATTGTCTGGGTGGCAGAGCCCAGAGGGTAGTGATCAGTAGCGCAGGGTCTAGTTGGAGGCCTGTAGTTAGCGGGGTCCCCCAGGGGTCAGTCCTTGGTGCAGTCCTGTTCAACTTATTCATCAATGACCTGGATGAAGGCACAGAGTGCTCCCTCAGCAAGTTTGCTGATGATATGAAACTGGGAAGAGTAGCTGATACCCCAAAGGGCTCCACTGCCATCCAGAGGGACCTGTGAAAAAGGCCTTCCTTCATCTTGTTGCAGGGGAGCTTTTATGCATAACTTCCTGATTTCCAAGATGAGTAGGTTTAATTAAATCTCTCCCCCTTGCTATGTATCTTCAGACCTGTCATTTGCAGGAACAAAAATGCACAGAATTCATAATCCAAATTTCCTTACTTAAATTTCAGTAAGCATAAAAAAGAAATCTGCTGCGTGGATTTTTCTCCTTAAACTAATGTACCTTCCTCAACAGGTATATTCATTTAATCTCACCCTGCATTTTTGTCTTTCTTCTTCTCTGTTACTTCACATTCATGGTGGCTTCATCCTTGGGACCATAGTTTTGACTAGCTTCAAGTCTGAAAGTCTGTTCCACATCCTACTGGGAAGCTTCCACTGTAGAGGCTCTTCTGGGACTTAACGAGGTTTCCTAGTTCATGTAGTCACAGTTTTTACACTCAAAATTTGGGAATCTTCCATTGCATCAAAAAAATGAATAATATAACAATAATGATGCTATAATAATGCTAATGATCTATAATTATGCAATCTTTTATTTCTTACTCTCTCACAATACTTTCTGCGATGCTCAAACATGTAAATATCTCTTATAGATTTAAATAGAATTATAATTTTATGTGTCAAGGAGAGGGAGAATAAAGTATTCTTTTTATTTCCTTGAAGTTTTTGAATCCCTATATTCCTTTGGAAGTCTGAACAATTTTCCTTTTTCAGGTCCATAATGTTTCCTTTGCTTTTGAGCTGATGCAAGATGGAGGACTCAAGAAACCAAAAGCTCGCCCTGAAGGTATGGATATGACAGGTGGCTTTAAATTGTATATAAAAACATGATAGCAGTTACATTTCAGTGCAGCTGCATTAATATAGGGTCACAAAGTGGATCTGCTAGTGCAAACATTGACAGCTTTCTAGAGGATTCATTATCTACATGATACGTTCTTACCTGTGGTTCTTATCTGGAATAGATCCTCTAAGGTGTACAACTAGTTTTTGTCCAAGAGCTTTTCAGTGCTATGTTATAAAATTAGGTGGTATTCTTAGCCACAGTCCAGGAAGGTTTTCATGCTGTAAATCCCATCACTGAAACACTTGGAACTAGTTTGGACTCTTATGATCGAATTGCAGTGACAGATAATTGAAAGTCTCTTTTTCTTAGGAGAACTGGTAGCAAACTCTTTTCTTGATGTATGTGGCCCTCAGTGTCAGAAATGAATGATGTAAAAACTGATGCTTTGCCCTTAAAACCTCAAAGTCTTGAAACAATGATGAGGTTTGCAGTGTTGCTCATCTTGGGGCTAGAAAGAGGAATTTAAACCTTCTGACAGCCAGCTGAGCAGTTTTTATTCTTAGTGATACAAACTACATGCATATTAGAGGCTGTCACAGAACAAACAGAAAACAAGAGGCTTATGAGGAATGATCATTCTGATTTAAAATGAGATAAAATGGCAAAGGTAAATGGATTATTAAATAATGGACTCGTTGTATTGGGGAAAAGGCACCATATTAAGTGTGCGTATCTTGTCAGTGCTGCTGTTCTAAGTTTCAGGGTGAAAAGTGCTACTGGAAAATAATTGAATGAAATAAGACACTAACTTGGGAGACTGAAATTGGGGGAATGTTTTGACTATTGGAGTTGGTTCCTTGGGTTGTTGAAGAGGACAAGGAAAATGGAGAAATATGAACACAGGATCAGGAACAGCAACTTTTTGAGTCGAAGAGTTAGAAAGACTATAATAAGAGACCACATTAGCTAAACAAGCCTGATCCAGAAGTGATAAACCATGAAAAGCCTAGAATTCGGCTCGTCTAGTTGAAAGCTTGCCTTCTGTTAAGGCGATAAGATAACCTCCCTGTAAGGCAGTGCTATGTACACCCTTACACTGTTGCAGAACTGAACACTGTTGCAGATCGTGTTTGGTTTGCTCTAGACATGGCGTGTGGATTCAGTAAGCAGCAGGGTATCGGCATTGTTATGACTGGGTTGGGGATCTGGAGCTTAGAGTGTTTTATTAATTTAAAATTTAATTATTAATAAAAGTTAGAAAGCCAAGCTAGCTAATATAACATTCCTCTTTGCGTAATGCTGCCGCAGGATGTTCAGCCTCTTCTGTGTTTTCCTTCCTCTTCTGTGTGTGAACCCGTTCCCACTGGCAGAAGCTCCCAGCATTTGGAGCGAGCCTGCTTGTGTTGTGTATGGGGCCAGCATTTCCTCAAGGAGACTTCCTCAAGAACTGCTTTGGCAAAAGGTTCTGTGGGTGGCATCCTCTCCGTCTGGGATTTGTTTTTCAGTCCTAAACAGGCTAGAAAACATGTTAGGTGGATCTGTGCTCTTCAGTGCAAATTGGGAATTAGTTGCTGTAGGTTTTTCATCCCAAACATTGCATAAGGCAGAAAGTTGAAAGTTTTCCTTCTATAGCCCATGCTTTCTGCATTGCTTACAAGAAACAGGTCTTGCTTAATGTTTTAGTGTGTCTTGCTACCAGTGATGTACAAAAATAGGAGCATACAGGCCAGATTGTGTTCTCTGTTTTTCCAGGCCAATTTAATAAATAGAGCCAGCAGCAGAACTGAATGCTGAATTATTATAGGAGAAGTTCACTTTAGTGGATTGGTATATTAGCCTCTCAAGGGATTCTCATGGAGTGTGAAAGTTCTAAATTAATGGAATTTTTTAAACTACATTGGTGATATAGCTATTTTCAGTTAACATTTTATTAGCTATTGTTGGTAATGAGTGTGCTTGCTTTGTGTTAAAATAAGAAATGGGCAGTTGAGCATCATGCTTATTCCTGGGACCTCCTGTTAGACACTGGTCAATAGGGAACCCTAAATCACCCACCCAGGGAGGAGGCAGCTCACACCATGGTGCTCCATAATGTTTCAGGCAGAGGCATAAGAAGGGACCTGATGGCAACACTTTGTGCCGAGGCAGCCACTCATTTTGCTTTTCAGGGAGACACGGGAACCAGGGAGAAAAGACAACCAACTGGGGCAAATACCCCAAAGATCCCTGAATGTTTAGTGCTCCCTGGCCTTTACTCCCTCATTTGGAGTTGTCTGTTTAGGTCTTTTTTTTTTTTGGCACTTTCATAGTGCCTAGAACTGTTTGGTTTAATTGCTTTACAAATCAAAGTGGTTGTGAGTATCAGTGGGTCAAATCTGCCTGTGGGTGTCTCTACTCCAGATACTTACCTTGATTTGCCAGTTATAGAGTGGGTAGCTGTTGGAAAACATGTTTCCCATGGCTAAATGTACTTTTTGCAATCTCTGAGGCAACTGGGCCTAGGTATAAAAGGACCAACGCTGATCCTGCACATTTCAGGCTGTTACCTTACTGGCAATGCTGTGATAGTAAGCAGCTTTCCACAAAGCCTGGAAAACTTACAAGTATATTTCATAATTCGGTTATCTAGGTAAGATACCCTCTTTCTTCAGAGTGCATTATCTCACAGCACTTAGGACCTTTTTTTTGGCACAGTAGAAGGTTATGTTGTAACATACAAAATCATAAAAAAGAAAGAGAAGATGACACAGTAAAAAAGGCAGAAAGAACAGTTTGAAAGGTGACTGAAAATATGAGATGAAATGTGGGGGGATTATAGACTGGAATCAAGTAAAGGGAGCGGCAAGGAGGTCCTGACAGTGATTCTTCAAAACAGACAGTAGGTGTTTTCCTTGGACCTCACATTAATTACACATAGTCTGTTCACTATTTGCCATCTTCTTATCCTCTCGAGTGATTTTTAAAATATCTTTTCTTCTTAATGCTGTTTCCACAGATATTGTAGTATTTTCACTTCCTCCTCCTTCCTTATCTATTTACCATTTCCTTTCACCTCTTCAGCTTTCTCTGTGTTTTGCCTTTTCCCCACCCCAGCAGTCCCTGGCTCACATGTTTGTGGTATTTCCTGATATTTTATTATAGTAACGGGATGGGAGGTGCTAGTAAAAAACCCTTTGTTGAGAGCTGCCAGAATTGTTCTCTGGTCTAGAATGGCAGGAGTTACTAGGTAATGTTATTAGAAAATTATTAATTAATAGAAAACTTCTGGGAGAATTTAATTCTTTTTTATTTGTGAATTGTATGATCGCAGAGTGGCTGAACGTGAGATTCAGTGCCACAGGATGGGTACAGTTACATTTTTGCTTCTTTTATGGCTAGTGTAGCCATTTGTGAAAATTCAGAAGATGATACTATACTAACGATGTTATTGCCAGGAGTGAGCATTTCCAAAGCCCTTCTCCTGCATCTCAGGCAGAAGCAGGCTTCCTCTGTGACTAAATTTAAATGGGGAAGGGAAGATAGGAATTACTCTTTTCTTCTGTTTCCCAGAGAAATTTAGTTGTGACTTCAGTATCATGAAAAGGTTTGAAGCGCATCATACAGACAAATTAAAATCCTTAACTTTTGAGATCGTACCTCTGTGGGTTTTCTGCTGCCGTCTACAGGCTCAAAGATGAGAAGGCTTTTGTTCCTTCGAGGGCAAACGAGGAGGCAGAGCTAGAAGCAAATTAAGAATTTCTCTTTTTTTCCCCACAGATGTTGTCAACCTGGATCTGAAGTCTACCCTCAGGGTTCTGTACAACCTCTTCACGAAGTACAAGAACATTGAGTGATCCTGAAAGCTGCTGAGGTGTTCGTCCTTCCAACCTCCTTAGGAAAAAATACAATAAAAACACCTGCACGCTCTCTTTGTGCCTTATGCATTCTTCATGCATTCTTTCTATACTTGATGTAATCTCTCCTTAGCTCCTTGTATGACACCCTACTAAAAATAATGCATGTATTCTGCTGGTCACTTGAAAAAGTGTTGGTATTTCACACTTGCCAGAACTGTTGGGTCTATTGTATGTTTATGGCCAGGAAACGTTCTTCTTGTGATAAAGGAAATATACCACTAGTTACTTTAATAAGCAGGGAAAACATGAGACCTTCCTCATGGCTGTAGACCTTTTCATACTATACTAGACTTTCTTTTGTAAATTTCTTGGTTGCTATTGGCATTGGATGGTTTTCTAGGCTTAAGAGTTAGGAACTAAAAAAGAGCATTGGAATATACTTAGAAGCTGAGCTTTTTCTGTCAAATAAGAGTTTTGTTCTATTCTGCTGCGGAGGGTGGGAGGGTTATCCGAAGTACCTGGTGAAAGCCTTGAAAGTGTTTTCATTCTGGTGTCAACCTCATACTACTCACTGTTATTTCCATTCAGTGTTTACACAGAATAAGTCTTGCAATGGGATGACCATCTAATCATGTCTGCCTGTATTTATTCTGGGCAGGAGAAATTTGTTTGCTAGGGCAGCAGTCAGTCTTTTAGTGGTCAGCTTGAATCGGGTCAGTCAAATATGCTATGTTGGACTAATGCGTTTTCTCCCCAGTCGTTTCTGAAATGTACCTGAGGAATAATGACAGTTATCCAGACTTCTTGCACCAAGCCTTATTTACTCTTCTGAGTTCAAGAGGAAACATGCTATCTGAGTTGGTGTGAGATTTTTTCCTTCCTTCCTTCAACATACTTTAATTTTCAGAAATGTGGGGGGAAAAATGTGCTTCTGCCTCGTGTTCTGCTGTCAATTTATTTGTGTCTCTTCTGCTCCCATTAACTCCTCCCTTCCCAAAAAGAGAAGGTGGGATATTTCCCATTTTTCCAAGATAAATTCTGATCCCACCTATTGTAGAAAGTCTTGTGGGGAATCCGTGCTTGTGTGCACTTTAGGAGAGAGGTGATCTGCCTTTTCACACAGTGACTAGTACAGTAGGATGTGAATTTCAGATGGGACCAGTAGACTCTACCATGGTGCCATCAGTTATTATAGAGAAGATTGTAGAGGTACTATGGGCAGCTGCAACTTTCAGCTCTTCTGAAAGTTGAAATTGGTCCAACTCTTCTCTGTGGAGTAGGAGTATCATGGGACTAAAAGCTAGAAGATGATTGACTGAAAGATGTCTCAAGCTCCCTGTTTAATTCAGTGTATTAATGGGAAACAAGAAATCTCTTTGGGAGCTGTCATTCCACCCACTTGCTTTCAACTAGGGTGGAAGTGCACATGCTGTGTGTATTCTCTGAGGTGTTGGGAAAGTCCTCCGGAGAATCTAGTTTTGAAATTCCTGGTAATACTAATATGGAAAGCAAAAAGGAAATAACAAGTGGGGGTTGGAAAGGGCAGTTTTGGGTCAGGGAAGTTGACCATTCCTGAGAAGGGGATTTGTAGTTGGGGGATTTGATTTCTCATTGCATGATAAGGTGTGAGCATGTCACCAAGTTTTGAAAGGGTCTGTCTTTCATTCAATTAGGCTTTTCTGGCCATTTTCCTGCAACTGAAGTCCCTTCTCTACAACCTGAAGCATAGATTTCTTCTAGTATGCCTTGCATACCCTGTCAAGTTGATGCTGCAGACTGTGATGTCCTGGACAGGTTGAGAGCAGGTGTCATATCCTGTGGGTTTGTTATGTTTCCAGACCTGCTGGTAAAGTGTTGCACAGGGAAAATACGTTCTTCCTCCTTCCTAGGCTCTCTGCTGTCTAGCCAGGTGACTCTTCTTGCAGACACTGCCTTTATTGTTAACTGGATTTGGATGGGGAATGCGTTTATCTGAACTGGAATCTCATCCAAGCAAAGCAGTTTACAGAAAGGGTAATGTAAGTAAAACCTTCCCTAAACACCTGGTTTTTTTTCCATACTTTTCTGTTACGTAGCCATGACACTTACCTCTCTCTCAGAAAGATAAGCCAGTGTTCAAAATGTTACTCATAACTTCTTCTGTAACTGGATTTTTAACCATGTTCCCTTGGGGACCAAAGGGGCGGATTTGCATCCTATTGAGTTCATCTGGAATACTACATGTGCTGCAGCATTAAGGCTCCCACATTTGTAAGCACTTTGGGAAACGTCTGTCTTATCCACCTATGCAGCTTGCCCTTTAGATACATCTGCTAGACACATTCGGCTCCAGTAAGCTATATTATCACAGAAGAAGCCCTACATCCTGCTTCTCAAGATGCAAAAGCAGCAGTGGCAGAGTTTTTTGCTTGTTTTGTTTTGTTTTTAATCAGGGTAAAATAGGGCTTTCTACCCCTCTCCCCCAAGTGCCAGTTCTTTCAGTATTAATGTATTTTTTAAGAATCTTTTCTACTTTTTTAACAGTGTTTCCTCTGGATTTCTAGCTACTAAAAACCAGCTTGCGGATAAAATTCTGGACTTGTCACATGCTGAACACATCCAGCTTTGTGACAAGGTTTGTGTACTGTAAGCAAGTTGCAATGCAATGCTATGTTTGCTGAAATGACCGCAGGAGTGTTGTAGAAAATCAGTGCATGGTTTGTGACAACTGTAATATTTATTGAAATAAATAAATAAATGATGATCATGTGTTTTGCTACGTCTTTTGGGGGACTGAGTGGACAAGTCTGGGGGAAGAAAGATGAACTTCAGCTGTCAGCACCCATGCTTGATCTCTGTAAGACCTGGTCGAGCAGTGTTCATGGGTTTCTGGCACTGGTAGAGCAATGAGATGTCCATGCAGACACTAATGAGTTTGTCTGTAGCTTTTAGTTACCTTTTTTGATACATATTTATATATATATGCTGCTAGGCACGATGACACTTCACCTTTTCCTTTCCACAAGAGAAAATCACCTGGTTTCCACTCTGTGAATCCTGCAGAAGAGCAGAGCTCGCTCCTTCCACAGCAGCATGGAGGGAAGCTAACGCTAGGCCCTCAGAGGGAAGCCAGAAGCCCATGTAAGCCTGGGGGAGTACTGAAAAAGCCTGTGGGTTTTCCTTTCCCTGGAGTGGAGGGAGGAAAAAGAGTGACTCTCCCGTAGAGTCCATAATGCAAGGCCGTGTGGGGAACCAGGAAACTACTCCATCAAGACCTGTTACTGGTGAGCACCACAAATTCCGTGGGTTGCTCACTGCTGTGTGAGGACCCACAGGTGTATGAGGTTGTGCGTGTATGAGGTGTGTGTACTTGGGAATGTAAGGGGAGAGCCGAGGTCGAGGCTGGGAGGAGGATAAAAGATCGAGTGCAAGTCTCAGTTGCCACTAGCTCATGGCAGCTGGAAATCTGTCTTGAGCCTGCTTCCGTTTATCCCCTTCAGCTCGTTTGCTGGCAGAATTATCATTTCTTGTCTAGGCTGTGGAGCCGAGCGCAGGCCTCAGCCCTTTAACAGCACTAGAGCAGACCAGCGTGGTTAGAGTGGCTGCTCACCGCCTCTTCCCTGGATCTCACAGAGTGCCACAGGGTCTCTTTTCGCTTCAGGAATTGCTCACAACCGCAACGTGTAGCCAGAGGAAGTGTCCCAGGGAAATGCTTGCTGTCTCCAGCTTCCCCTCTGGCATGAGTGATGGGGACGGCAGGGTAGAGGGTGGCACTGTCATTTTTATTTTTATTATTATACACAAGGAAAACACGCGCTGCCAGCGACCCCGAGATGCGCAATAACAAGCAGTCGTGCCGTGCAGCACTACGCAGGAGCGACCCTATCTCCCCGATACGTTCTGCTGTTACAAGGAGTTGTGGGGACACTCGCTTCCTCCATTTGTGTTTCTGTTTATTCTTGTCCCCGGCAGGGGCCAAGCGCGGAGACAGTTGAGTTCCGGGCGCCCGCGCGCTTTCGTTTCGGAGGGGAGCCAGCGCTGCGCGGTGCAACTTCCCCCTCGTGCTTTCTGCGCGCCCACACGGGCCTCTGCAGCGGCCACGCGAAACTGCTCCGGCCTCAGCCCCACAGAAACTGCACATCCCTTGCAGGGAAAGGATCTTGGAAGAGCTTCTGGACAACTACCAAAGGCGAGAGCAGTAAGTCTGGGAAAGGGACTTGGTTCTTCTTGTTTTTTTTTCTTATCTTTTTTTTTTTAATGGAAATATTTCTGCATTCTTGCTTTTGCTAGAAAAACACCTTTTCTGAGGCTGATGGCCAGAATGAGCACTTGAAAAGTCTAGTACTCAACAAGGAAGTAAAAGCAAGCCTTAAGCTGGGCACACCATGTTAAGTTCTCCTATTTTTCTCATTTCTTTTAAGTTTCTGGTGTGCTGAAGGCAGCAACATTACTGACTTTCCCTGTTTGGGTTTTGCTCCCTGCTCGGGCATGATCCCTTTAGCAAGCTCACGGCAGGCAAGGTGTTTGGGCTCATGTGGAGCTTTGTTTACAGGAAACAAAGCGGCTGAAGGGACTTGGTAACATGGCTGAAAAAAGTAAGTGCCTTGTGCATGTCCTGCAATTGGTTTGTAGGTCAGGAACTGCAGGACGTGCAGGAACTAGCACCCGAACGTGTTATATCAGGGGTGTCTGGGAGCCAAGCTGTTGGGACACGGTGAGGAAAAGGTCTGACCTTTTTGGAGAATAGTTTTATCAGCAGTTGAGCATTGCAACGTTACTATATGCAACAGGCCAAGCCTGGCAAAAATTAAGTCATCTGCTACCTCAGCAGGTGACATAGGAGAAATGCAACAGCTGTTTATTTCAAAGCAAACAAACCTGTACATCCATGTCGCTGTGGCCATAACAGAAAGTAAAGGACCAAATTATGCTATTGCATTTGAAGAGTCAATAAGTAAATCTCATTAAACCTCAATGTTGTTTAAGGATTCCAGCATAAAACCCCCTGCAATCAGTATTCAAGCGGTTGTCTCATAAAGCTGTCCTCTGAAAACTGATAAATAATACATGCAGGAGGATTGAGGCCAGAGAAAACAGCGTGTTGGTAACAGAGGTGAATTGCAAATTGTATAGATGGGCTGCAGCTATAGCAAATGTGCAAGCTGGAAACACAGGTCTTCTATCTTCTTCTGCTCCTTGGCTAGCAGTGAAGCTGGAAGGAGTTGGGAAACAGCCAACGCTGTTTCTGCAGTTTGTTTTTCTCTGAAAGGCTGTGTCTAGGAGCAAGCCTCACAGAAATGGAAGTCACGCGAGGGTCTGCTCCAGAGTGCTAATTATTAGTAATAAGCATTGAGTCTGTTACTAGTGCTAGGAAACTGCACTTCTCAGGCTCTGAAGTGGCTGTTGGAAATTGGTGTAGGCAAGCATAAAGTGATACACACGGAGGGAAAAACATTGCCAGCTCTACAGGTAAATGATGGCCTGTAAGCTGACTGTTGCTATTTGTGAATAAGCCCTTGGGGTTATAATGGATAACTCCATGAAAGTGTCAGCTCTGAGCTCAGCAGCAATCAGAAACCAAGCAGTGCTAGCAATTGCTAGGAGAGGAGTGCACAACAAGTCCAAAAACATTACAGTGCCCTTCTCTAAATCCATTCAGGGTCACAGTGTTCCAAAAAGGAACTATCACACTGGGAAAGTTCAGAAAAGGGAGATGAGGATGATGAAAGGTTTGAAAGGGTCTCCTCTGCTTCCCCAGCATCAGGAAGAGATGACTGAGTGTGATGACTGAGATGCAAGAGTTTTTCAGGAAAGCATCTATATGTACTTGCTAATGTTTTTTCCTACTTACCCACTTTTAGGTGCCACTAGGGCCTGGTGACTAGGCAAGGTGGACATTGTGCCTCACTGTTTGACCATTTTAACTGAGTGCGTGGCCTCAGGCCATGCAGGACTGAGGCCTGAAGTAGATTAATTTATGCGACTGCAAATACTTAATTTCCGGCCCTTTCCTACAGGGTTACAAATTTTTAACATCAGCTTTGGCAGTTTGGGTTCCTTGGTCAAGCAGAGACCAAGAGTATAGCAGAGGTGTTATTTGGATGAGTAGTTACAAAGTGGAAGTGTAAGAGTTATGTAAGTTGAGTTTTGCAGCAAAGCTGAATTAGTTTACAGTAGACTCTTAATAAGAGAAATGGCTGGGGCTTTCCAAGGCATAATGGCTGTCAGAAACCTGATTTAGAAGTAGGTTGGACTGAGGTTGCTCTCTATTAATTACCTTTCCCCTCTCAGTTCATTTCATCTGGGCAGTCTCATCTCAGATAGTTCAGTTGCTTCTCAGGCACTAAATGACTCATTTTTTCCTTATTATCTTATTTAGTCAACTACCTTTCCAGAGAGAGCATTTGGTTTTGCAGTCACTGTAATGAAACATATTCTCTCATGCCCCTTCCCTCTAATGGTTTACTGAGAACTTTTTGTTTTGCAAGACTGATATGCAAAAATATTTAATTGCTATTTTCCACCAATATTCTCTTTCCACGTGTGTTTGGCTTGGCAAAGTCTGTGTTAAAATACAACACATGTTCATAACGCACTTTGACTAGAGCCTTTAAAAAATACGTGAGAGTCTACAGAGTGGCACCACGCTGTTCAGAGCCTGAAGCTATCAGAGAAAGCAGTGTCGCTTTGTAGAATCTTCTCTGGATGGTGTGCGCTACCATTCACATCAAATTTGTTCCTCCAAACAGTATGTGTAGACCTACAGTATTGAGCATCTCATTTTCATTTAAAAAGGAAGAAAAGCAATTTGCCTCTTTTTTCCCATAGCGGCCCTGCAGCGTTGAACCTCAGTGAAGATCGTGCTTTTCCCTTCTGTAGGCTGTAGCATTCCCAGTTGTGGAGCAGCACAGTAACAGCCCATGGAGTAACCAGCTTCTAGCTGCAGCTGGGATTTAATGAACAAGGTGTATGTAAAAGGGGTTTTTGTCTAGATGGTAAGATTGTCAGAGAAGCTGAGGTCTCTTTTGTGGGTTTGTACAGATGATACCATGACACAAACCATGTGCTGCTGTGATGGTCCATGGTTTAGTAGAGAGCCACCTTGCTTTTTGAGGCATAGTACAATTTGCAGAAGAGAGAACTCACATTCTGATATTATGAACATTTAATTAACTTTTAGTCTTTGCCAAGCTGAACTATTCTAGTTTTCTCAATTTTGTGGCTTTGACCAAACAACCTTAACATGAAAATTCAGACTACAAAGGCCAGCACTTAAAATTGAACATTTCCTATCATTCAAGTTGTCTGTAGAGCCTGGCTCTATCTTTTGTGGTGTTTGTATAGGCAGAATGACACTGCTTTGAATGGTTAAAAAATCAGACTGGTCTGTCCTTACCAGGGATTTCGTTCAAGGCTTCCAAAAGAGTGAGAGAGATCACTTCCAGCCTTTAATCTGCAGCTCTTTTCTGATGGATAAGAGAGGAACCTCCTTTCCAACCTTTCCAGTTTGATAGGACTGCGTATGAGTGATATGGACTGTCTCCACCCTGCTCCAACCATCCCATTCTTTTCTCTGCCTTCTCTGCGCTCCCACAGGACTCCTAGCCCTTCTGGAAAACCTTATCCATAGTTTAGTGTTTGCTGACAAGGTGCTTTGACCTCTCTGTTGTGCATTGCCATCATGCTTTCGTTAGAGGACGTCTGTGATTGATAGGAAAGGAAGTTTTTCTGCAATATATATCTAAAAGAAATCATGCAGAAGTCATGCCGCCTAATTCTAATAACTAGCATCCAGACAGACTTGTGTACCCAGAAGCAAATCCCATTTACTTCTACAATTATGCCAGCTGGTCTAATAAAAGATATTGCTTCTATTTAGTGTTTTTTCTCAGTAATTTAACTACTGCAGACTTGATTGAATAGTTGTTAAGTACTGGTGATTTTTATAGGAGATACTTATTGATACCTAGAATCTGAAAGCTTTTTCACTTGAAATAAGATTTTACTAATCTAATTCACATGAAACAGAATAGGGTGTAATTAAGCCATTCCATAGTACTGCAGTGTCTCCACATTTTAGTTATTAGCAGCAGCAAAGGATACTCCTTTTTAATTTTTCAGATTTTTTTAAAATAAGTCATCCACAAGTCATGCAATTGTAACTGCAAAAAAAAATTCTGTTGTGTGTTTCCTTCTTGGCACTCATTTTGGTCTTAACGTGCTTTTGCTAACATATCTTGTCCCCCTGTATTTTCTTAATAGTTCATCAGGAGTGAAAAAAGAAATGGATCCAGACATTCCCAATGCGTTTACACATTCTGCTGCAGTTAATGACTTTGAAGTTGAGAATGGCATTGCTCAAGGTATGTACTTTACAAAGCAGTACAGGAAAAGGTCAGAGGAATGACCTGAAGAACTAAGCAGAAAATTTGCAGTATGAATGAATTGTATTTTTTTTTCCCAGAAGGAATATAATTCCCAGGGTATAACTGGCTACAAGGAAACTACAGTGTGTAATTTCCCATCTGACTCTCTAGAGGCAAATCATGAGGCAACAACACAAGTGCTAGCCGATACCTCAGTTGAAATTTAAACTTTGTATACAAGGATCTGCTCAAATTTGTTTATTTCCAGAGTTGTCCTCTGGATCTTGTTGAATGGAATTCCTTTGAAACGTAGTTTCGGATTGTAGTCACAATGCTCTTGATATGCCATTTTCTCCCACAGAGGAAATCTGTTAAAATTAGGACTGTTTTCACATAGGGAGCTTAGTGTTACTGGCTAAAATTATATTGATAGTAGATTTTATAGAAAACTTGCGTTACTCAGATCTGATAGTTTTAATGGATTTTGTTTTACTTCCTTTTATAGGAGAGAAGAGGAGGCTTATAAAACCCACCTCACGCAATAATGCCAAATTGGAAGATTTGAAAGTGGTACCACTTCTTTTACTGTATTATTTAAACCTCATCCCAACCAGGTTATTTTAACCTCTTGTGATAGTACTCAGGCCTGTAGACTCCCAGCCCCCTTGGCCCTGGTCCCACACTCTCTAAGGACATAGACTGGGTCTGGTTTTGGCTCTTGGGCTGCACACAAATAGACAAGAGGTTTTGCTAAGCACAAGTGCCAGAATACCTGGGGCCTTACTGGATCAAGCTTTTTAAGTGCTGACCTTGCACAGAAGTGGTTGCTGGCACTCACACAGTGTGAAGCTGAGTTTCTCTTATGTGGTCTCCCTCCTAGCTGGGGAAATGTGTATGATACCCACCAGAAGTGCCCTGTTGCTGGCTCACTTGCAATAGCAAAGGGAATGGCTGTGGTTGAAAGCAAATATATGTTAAATTTACTGTTACTAAAGGCTTGTGTGCTGATACATGCGAATTTGCTATCCTGATCCCATGCTAGCAACCTTTCAGATTGCCCCCATGCTGATCTGCAGCGGTTTCCTTTCCTGTCTTCTGTGTTGGTTGCTAGTGGCTTTAAGGAAACACATGGTGCCTCCTGACCAAGAGCACATAGAGAAGAGACAGAAGGGGTGAAGGGGCTGTGAGTCACCACTGCAGTTCAGGAGAAAGGTTTGCAAATTCCTTGTGTGATACATTGTCTGCTTGAGGGAACTGTGAAGGATGAAGCCTGTTTCACAGGAGAGTGCCTAATTTAAAATTTTGAAAATATCCACTGTGCATCATTCACCATTTTTCTAATGTCACAGCCCAGAGGAATGTTAGCAAACTGAAATTTCCTGGAAGAAAACTGGCCTGTCTCTTTGGAAACCAGCACTTCTTGACTTATGAAGATACTAAAATTGTTATAAATATTAAGAAAACAAGTTAGGTTGTGCACTAATGTGTGTATATGTGGCATTCATAAAGCCATAACTGTGTTTATTATGTTTTCTTAAACCTTCATGCACCCTCAAACAAGAAGAGTTAATTTTTGCATCAAGCTCTCACAATATTTTTATACAAAGAGAGGATCTGAAAGGTAGTATGAAAAATGCAATTATACTGTCTACAGAGACACTAAGTTCTTTTCAGGCTGCCTAGAATGAAGAGGTTTCTTTAGTTTAGGAAAATTTCCTTGAGTTTCAGCGTTTCATCCATTTCCTGTCACAGTCTTTTGAAATAATCTTTTTTTGCTGTGTAACTTCAATTCTCTGGAAGATGAGGAGGTGGGATTTGGGGCCCTCCGCAGAATCTCCTGTGTGTCTGTCAGTGCTGCGAGTTGTCATCTTGATCTAAAGAGTTCACGACTCCTTTGAGGAAGAGAATTATGATGGGGGGCATTGACTTATAGGAAGAATAAGAGAAGCAAAGAAAGGCGTTGGAGATGGATATTGCATTCCAGGGCATTTTCGTCTTGTGGGGGCTTTTGGGAGCTAGGAAATGTGAACTGCCAGGTGGCTCACTGCAGTTATTATAAGTATCTAACTGCAGGTAAAATACGAGGTGATTACATTTAGAAGCTAGTAGCAAACTTCGTTTTTGAGGGGTTTTCTCTTCTTCCTTTCCTTAGCTATTCATTTTTAGAGACAACTGTATGCTCTTCAGCTGAGTGGGGTCCTAATAACTGGACTTAAAGCAGAGTTGTGTAATAGGGAACCTGTGGTCATCGCTGTTAAGCGCAGAAGCAGCAAACAAGAAATCTCATAAATCTGCACTTGACAGTGCCTTTTATTTGACTGTATTCATATTTAGATTTATGAATTTATGCATACTTGCAAATATAAAGCATCATGAGAACTGGAACAGAAAGCATGAGCTGAGGAGTACAGCATTTTGCTTTAGAGAAGTGTGGGTTCCCTCTCAGCTGAGGAAGTGTCTTTCAGAGGCTTTGACAGCATTCTTGTTCCTTGTGCACTTCCAGGCATCCCAGAGTTTTTGTGTTTTTGTTTGTTTGTTTTTTTAACAAACTATTTTTTACTTTTTTTTTTTTTGGTTACCTTTGCCTGACCCCCAGGGATGGGCTGTGAATTATTTCCTCTATTCAAGGTGAGTGGGAAGGATATCACCCACAAAACAAACTCCAGCCACTCTCCAGCAGCAATGGC